GTGGGTATCATGAAATGATCGTTTAGCTGAGCAAGGTGCTCTTGTATTAAGGGAATGCACGTGAGGAGGCCCAATGTCCACCTGCTACCCTACTACTAAACCTATAAATATATGCACATAGGTCTATTTTCCCCCATAATCATAAATATATTTACATATTTACAGAGACATTTAAATGCTTTCATTTATCCTCATAGATATATTTCTTAGTTCGTTTTCCGTATTTCACTAATAAACACAATGGAATACAATCTATAATTTATCATTTAAATAGGGACATCTTGGAGAGTTAAAGTGGTCATAATAAAATATTATCCTGGAAAAATATGTGGGGACTTTACCAAGTGAATTGGGATGTGCAGGCACTTGACATACTATTAACTAATAAGAATGCATGATGTGACCTGAAAATTGTACACTAATCTGACTCCTATATCAATGCTTCTCAATTATACCATGCTTCCATCAAAATGAGAAGACATTAGAGACTCAAGAGTAATATAAGAAAAAGGGACAAGCATTTTAATTTTCTGGTTTATCTTAGAATTTCATGAGAAGGTATAAAGGTCCTTCAGACCATTGGATTGGCCTTAGCCGAGAATCATCAAATGGCAACTGGACATGGACGGATGGCACTGACCACAATAGCTCGTACGTTTTGAGACTTCTCTTCCTTCTGCTGTGTTCATGAGTGGCTGTGTGTGTGAGTTGTCTTTATGGGACATGAAAACATGAAATTTAATGTCTGTGACTTTGGTAAAATATCACTTTTAGTAGTTCTATCCATCGAAATTAAGATCATTAGTGTGATGATGGCATTTGATACGTTTCTTCCACTCATCCACTTATTGAAAACTTTTATTTCCTGAAAACCCTATAATGAACATGAAGACAATTTCTACACATCAGTTGCTTAAAACTCCAGTAAGCTACTGAATAACTGATGTGAAGACTATTAAGCCCACTCTTCTATATACTATGTTTATTCACCCAAGGAACCTATAGAGATCTTTCTAAAGTTCTAGAGTCTGAAAAAAACAAGCGGGATTTTGATCATTTACGTTGAGTATTTTGAATGCCCTGGAAAATGATGTCATGCTTGCAAAAGTAGAGGGCCAGCAAAAAAACGAGAAAGGAGGCCCCTCAGGGAGGTGCATAGGCACTCTGGCTACAGCAGTGGGCTAAAACAGCCACAGTTGTCAGGATGGTGCAGGGCCAGGCAATCGATCATTCTGTGGTGTACATAGTTTGCTTTAAGTTAGAACTGCTAGAATGGCACCCAACA